TTTCCTTGTAAGAAATCGCTGGGATCTTGTGGAATTTATGGAAAGCACATAATTCCTTCATTTTTCAGAATCGAAAACCAGATTCGAACGTGATTATTGAAAGTGCTTGTGCTCTGGATAAGAACTTTAAATGCTGGAACTCAGTTTTGTCTAAACAAGCGAAGGGACAAGAAAACTTTAAACGGCCTGTAGCCCATGGGAGAGGCTAACCGGATTGCAGATTGGATTGCAAAAACCCCATGTCAAAAAGCCTTTCCATCAAATTGGTTGTCCAAACCACCTCCGCTTTTATGGGAACTTTTATACTCAGAAACTGATATGTATAGTCTCTTTCGTGATGTTGGTTGAATGAAATGACCTTTTCCCAACCCAAAAAAAATGGACATTTGAGGTGTTGTGATAGTAGATATTAACGGGGTCCAATCCATTAAAGGAAGGAGAGATAGGAAAAGTGCATATTCAGTGCACGACCTTGCATTGCTCTTTCAATTCGATCCCCAAAAAAATTGTGATTTCGCTAATCAAATCCTCGAACATTCATAACTTTTCCAGTCAAGTCCATCTATGTTCAATTTCACCAAATTAAAGCAATACAGCAACTAGAAGTTGATGCTATGCTTTGATATGGCTGAAGTTCTGGATACCTTTGTATAAGAAGAACGATGGAAACATCCATATACATGTCGCATCATAATTTGAAGATACCATAGGACCTTATGCTTGGTTTTATACGGTGCTACTCGTCGTGCCAGCTTCCATTTACCCAAATTTCGAATGGAGGGACTTCGATTGCAAAAGTTCCACAAGTTTGATGACTTTAATTTGGTGAAATTCTAAATTTCAGGGATCAAATTCAGAAAAGCATTTCAACAATCGATTGCATAAGCTGTTCTTAAAGTAAGATGACTCATAAAGCGATACAAAACCGAATAAACATGTGGTTTCATAAGCCGGTGACCGCATAGTGGGAATCACTAAGGTATATGTACAAATAGGTATAATCCAAAGAATCACAGAAACTATCAAAATGAAACAAACTTATGATAATAACTATTGGTATAAAAAAAAGAACATTTTTTTTGCAATTCCTATGATGCAATTGGAGCTTATCAACAAAAAGAATCAATTTAGATAGTCTTCTGTGGCTTCGATGGTGATTAGATGAACGCGTTATGCCTCAAGAGAAGTTTCTATAGAGATTCACTATGAATCTTTGGGTACCTATCATGAAATTTAGGGAAAATTCCAAATAAGGGCATGAAGTGCCCTCATTTTCTTAAATAAGGACCTGAAGTGAACTTTATGTCAAATAAGGACCTGACCTCGTCGGTCGCCAGGCGGCGAAATATTCCGGCCAGTCAAGGGCATTTTCGTCCAAAAACCATTTTAATTTTTCTTTCTTTTCCTTTTTTCTTCTTCTAGGTTTCTCTTTGTGCTTCACCGGTGGCCAACGGCGAAGCCCGGGGAGGGCCGGTTGCCGGCAGGGTCGGCAGGGTGGCCACCGATGAACCCGGGCTGAAAAAAAAAAAAAAAGAAAAAAAGAAAAAAAAAAAAAAAAAAAAAAAAAAAAAAAATTATGCGCACGGCCACCAATGAAGCTTTGGAAGAAGGGTTGCTTATGCCTTTAAAAAAAGAAAAGAAAAAAAGGAAATTAGCGACCCTCCTTTCGAGCAATAGGCAAGGGACGGCCTCACTGGCCATGGGCGAGGCGACCCTTCTACCATTGATTGTGCAAGGCCACCCGCGCTTACCATAGGAGAACCGATAAGGTCGCCTCTATCAATATTTGGGATGGCATGGTTCGTTGTAAAAACGGAGCCCGCCCGGACGAGGCGGATCTCGCCTCGCCTTGCCTCGTCAAGGCGAGGTTGTCCCTCGTCGATAGCCGAGTGGCGAGGTGAGCCTGCAAAGAAAAACATTTTCCGGATATACGAGAGGGCCGGCCTTGCAAAAGTGGGTGAGGGTCCGGCGATGGCGGGTGGCCACTCGACTCCTATGTTGCCCGAGGTGCGGGTAGCGCCATTGTTGGTTTTGGCGCGACCCTTGCCCAAAACCCTTCCTAGGTCGATGGCCGGCCACCGGCGAAGAAGAAAACCAGAAAAAGAAAGAATAAAGGAAAAGGAAAAAAAGAAAAGAAAGGAAAAGAATTCAAAAAAATAAAAAAATTCAAAAAAGTAAAAAAAAAACGAAAATGCCCTTATTATCCATAAGTCAGACCCTTTCTTGAAATAGATATAGCCACGTCAAATCCTTATTTGAAACAAAATTCACTTCAAACCCTTATTTGAGAAAATGAGGGCACTTCAGACCCCTATTTGACACAAAGTTCACTTCAAGCCTTTATTTGAGAAAATGAGGGCACTTCATGCCTTTATTTAAAATTTTCCCTGAAATTTATGGGCACTATCTAATAGTAAGAAGTGTAAAAAAAAGAGGAAATTATTTGTATATACATTCGAATAGCTGACGTTCATATTTCTATTTTTCGAGAAATCGAAGAAGCTATACAAGGGTTTTGTCGAGTCTGCTCATTTGGTACGTGATCATACAGTATCTAAATTATGTAATTCTAAGGGCTAACCTCTTCATGTTTTGTGTACTCCAGCTATTGCAAATTGTTTCTATATTTGGATGAAATTGCTTCTGCTGACTTTAGTTTCCATATTAATAGAGAAGATTATTCACCTATTTAAGGACGTGGACTCTATCAATATTTAGGAGAGTGGCATGGTTCGATTTGCTAAGATAAATGCTCGGGAAAATTATCCAAGAAGTCATAAATTTATTGGGGATAAGAACAGCAAGAGTGTCATAACTTTCGTATGGCGTTCACTTGAGTATTATAACTTTTTTTTCGCTCACTTAAGTGCCACAAATTTGAAAAATAGATCACTTAAGTGCCATCGTCGATTTACCTCGCTGGAAAATCTGACGTGGACGTTGGTCGTCCTACTTAGCATCGCCGGAGCCGATGTGGACAATTTTTGTAATTTTTTCGCTCAATTTGTTTTTTTGGTCAAAGAAACATTTTATTCATTTTCACGGATATACAATAGAGATATGCAGTCCAACTGCAAACCAATACAATAAAACAAGTTTCAAATAAAAATATGAATAATCATAACAAGGTTATATGCCATATGCTCAAAGAGCATATATGGGACTTCTTAAAAATAAAATCGATGGCCGATCACTAAATTCGTCTTCAATAATGAGCACACACATCAAGATCTCCATATGATGCTACGGTTTTGCCTTTCCGCAGTGCGCGTCAAGATTCGGCGTCCCCAACACCATTGTCGTACAGAGTAACAAGGTTGAACGCGAACAAATCTGACATTTGTGAGAGCGAAACCTTCACAAAACCTCTTTGATCTCTTTTGAAACTGGACTTGTTCCCCAATGAAGCCAGAGGAAAGCGAAACTCCTAAATAACATACGCAAAAAATCTCAAATTTAGACTAGATCAGGAGAGAAACCTCCCCAAAACGGGAGAGAGGATATTCTAAATCTAGATTAAATCAGAAGAGAAAAGCTCCTCAAATGAGGGGAAAACAAGAGAAAGAACAGAGAACCAAATCAGTCAAAGAAAAAGGAAAAAGAGAGGGGAGGGAGAGATCAAACTCAAACTCGCCCCTCCATGGAGGTTGAAGAAGAAAGCTATGTAAATATAGGAAGGAGAAGAGAGAACTTTAAAGAGGAGAGGGAAAAATCAATCAATCTTGGCCGGAAATTACTCACGTGGACACTGGCCATCCTACATGGCATGGCCGGCGTTGATGTAGACAATTTCAATAATATTTTAATATTTTTCGATTTTTTTAATTATATTTTATTATTTTTTCTTTCTTTTTTTCATTTTTTCTTCCTCTTGCCGATGGTCGACCACTGACCATAAGTGATGGTCGAGCAAGCTAGCCTCACCTGGGTGAGCCTGGCGTGAGTCGGCCTCACCTAGGCCAAATCTGGTGAGGGGAGCCCTCGGCCGGCCGAGCCTTGCCTGTGGCGGGCGACATCGACTCTCATCTAGGCGAGGCCAGCCTACCTAGCCATGGTCGGTGGCTAACCACTAGCAAAAGGAAGAAGAATGAAAAAAAGAAAAATATTATTAAAAATTAGACACGTTAGTGCTGTCCGTGCCACGTGGACGGTCGGCGTCCACGTAGCAGTTTTTGGCCAAAATTGGCCGAATGGACTCAATTATCAAAAAGTGAATAGGTTTATGACTCAATTGACAAAAAAACAATTTAAGTTTTTTTGGATAATTTTCCCAAATATGCTCTCTTGCTTTTGCTTGCTTACAATTTCCATATTGATTGAGAAGATCATATGCCCATTTAGTACGTGGACTTAGGAGAGTGGTACAATTCGATTTGCTAAGCAATATGTTCTCTTGCTTTTGCTGACTTTTAGTTTCCATATTAATTGAGAAGATCATACACCCGTTTAGTGGTATTTAGGAGATTCAATTTGCTAAGCAATATGCTCTCTTGCTTTTGCTCGCTTTTTGTTACCATATTAATCGACAAGATCATGCGCTCATTTAGGGATGTGTACTCTATCAATATTTAGGAGATTAGATTTTCTAAGCCATATTATACAAAAAAAAATGAATTGAGATTGAACTTAAAGTTATGATTTTGCTTTAGGGAATTAGGCCTAACTCTTTTGGTTAAATAATCTTTTCGTCGGTGTATAACCTAATTCAATAAATGACTTTATATCTACATGCACGTGTGCATAATCCAAAGATCGAATGAAAACCGAACTCAAATCATTCAAAACCCAGTAGAATTTTAGCAGTAGCATGTAACTACAGGCGATCAACTTGCGGGCTCGGCCTACTCAAGCCCGCCTAGAGAGGTAAATTGGCGGGTTTAAGCAGTGAATCGAACTCGTGACGTCGTGGAACGGATGCAACTGAGTTGTAGGGAATCGGGGGGGCTCTAGAAAATTCGGGAGGAAAGAGCAAGTTCAAATGCAACTTCCGGGCACAAACGCCGGCACATTTGGCGAATCGCCGTAATAAGTCGGCCTTCTTGTTTCGGCCCGAACAGAAGAAGGCTTTGAGCCCGACGCTTCTCGCTCTCTCCACTCCCTCTTCTCTTCGCCGTCGCCGCCGCCCGCCGCCCGCCGCCGCCCGCCGTTGTGCTCCGTCCCCATCTCAGCCAGCTCCACGACAACACCCAAGCGCCGTCGCCCGCTACCCCCCTTCTCCCTCCTCTCTCTCTCTCTCTCTCTCTCTCTCTGGGGTTCGGCCTGGGAGTTGGTGCAGCTATTGCCGAAGCTTTGATGGCTTCCGAAGTTGGGTGGTATATTCTCGGCGACAATCAGCAGAACGTTGGCCCTTATGCCGCCTCCGAGTTGCTCGGTAGGTCCAACTTCTTGAATTCTTGATCTCGATGGTATCGATTTCTTTGTTCAGTTTCATGCACCACGAGCTGAAATTTGCTCTTGCATAGCGTCCCCGTGATTAAGTAGTGCAATTGGGTATCTTGGGCAGAGCATTTGAGAAGCGGGTATCTGTCTGAGAATACACTCGTGTGGGCTGAAGGAAGAGCTGATTGGCAGCCTCTCTCTTCTGTCCCTGAGCTGATGCAACCCTTGTCGGATAATGGGGGTGATGCCCAAAACCCAGGTGTGTGTGCTTTTGTGGGGTGAATTGGTTTCCTTGTGCTTTTCGTTAGGCCGTGGCCGCCGAGTGTATGTCATGACATTGCGATGGGCTGTGCAGCCGTATTAAACAGCGAAGACGAGTTTGAGAAATGGCAAAGGGAAGTTAGAGAGCCCGACGCCAAGGGTTCGAAGAGTGGATCTCTTTCTGTCGGCGTCGGTGCTGACTTTGCAGAAGACGACGATGACCGGCCTTCGACACCACCAGAGGGTGAGGAAGAGTTTGTTGATGATGATGGAACTAGGTACAAGTGGGACCGTGGTCTGCGAGCATGGGTTCCCCAGGTCTCTCCCTGTCTCCATTTGCCAAAGTTTGAGATTATATAAGATTCTATTGGAGTACATGGCCAACGATAAACAACTTGCGAACTTCTCTTTTGAGAATTAGCTTATCTCTGTCAACGATGATTCTGATGTTTGGGCCTCTCGTGGGATGTGATGTTGCGGTGTTTTTGACATCTATGGCTGTATCACTGTATCCTCCTCTCATGTATGTTGATTTATTGTCGACTCATATCATTTGTCTAAAATATTGTTGAAACACAGATTTATAGAGACATTACTCTTTGGAGCTTTCAGTAGTTTTAGGTTGATGTCATTACGTCGCTGAAGTGGATTAAGTATAGAAAAAGCATGACCGTCATCATGGTAGAAAATTTATGAAAATCTCTTGCAACTAAAGAGTCTAAGGAGAGTGGGTGCTAGTATTTTGCCCGGATTAACATCTTTGCGGATTGAACTTTACTTTAGGGCAGAACATGCTTTTAACTTCTGATTAGTACGTACTGATCCCAAAAAGATATGATTAGTCCTTAAATTTGAATGTGATACATACATAATTATATATCTGCTGTAACATTTTTGTGCGTTTGGATTGGAAGTTGTTACTTCTGATCAGTTTTTCGTTTCCAGCACTACCGTTGAATAACCTGCTAATATGATAGGATAACATCTCAGCGGATAGTGACCGCTATGGGTTAGAAGAAATGACTTTCCTGCAAGAAGAGGAAGTCTTCCCTACTGGAAATTTAGATGAACCTACGAAGGAAGAAGTTCATGCACCGGCTGATATAGCTGAAGCAAGGACCGTCAGTGATTTGGAGGAAGCAAAACCTAATGCTAAGAGAAAACTGCCCGAGAATGAAGAATTGAAGAAGGTTTGCCTTGGTTGTTTTGTACTTTGTTTGCGTCCTATTTAATACTAGCAAAATGGCACGTGTGGCATGCTAAAAGAAAGTAGAAAAATAAATATGTTGTGAATTAAGGTAAATGGTTGAAGATTTTCAATCTGTTTAGGATTTATCAAAAGACAAGAAAGGTTTGAGTTTAAATTTTCAAAGTGTTCGAGATTTAAAGAATTATTACTTTGACGACTTTTGAATTACAAACTAGTCCCTAGTTTAATGTTTTATTGTTATGATTCGTTTTGGTATACCTAGGTTTTCCTCGACTTTGTTGGTAAAAGTTTGAGATTGAAACTACCTTTGGTTGGCTTATTATATAGAGAGATTATCTCAATGAAGATGCTGGTGCTACTTTCTCATTTATTTTGCGTATTTTGTTATTCATGGAGATTCAAATCCTTTTAGTACTGCCATGTGATGTGGTACTTGCATTTCGATAATATTAATCCTCTGGATGTTTCACTGACTGTGTTCTCACATCTTTGGTTCACTGGGTTGTAATTAAATGAGATGGAAAAGTAACAAAATCGAGACATATTGATAATGGTCGTACATGCTTACAGCTCTTGATTCTCTTACTTTCTCTGGGTTTGAGCTGAATGCGAACAGACTAGAGAGGCATGCCATATTGATGATAGGGATTGTTTTTAAAACCTGCCACAGTGCTGCATGAAATGTCCTTTATCGTATCTGAAATTTTATGCATGACAGTGTTAAATCTTAAAATTGACCTTTTTCCTCTTCTGGATGTTGTTTTCAGGAACCAAACAAACCGCCCGATAGTTGGTTTGAATTGAAGGTTAACACGCATGTGTATGTAACTGGGTTGCCTGAGGATGTCACTATGGAGGAAGTAAGTGAATGCTACTCTTTTTTTTTTTTTGCTTACAAGCTTTCATATAGCAACAACTGATGTTGGGATGGATGCGCAGGTGGTGGAGGTTTTTTCCAAGTGTGGAATCTTAAAGGAGGTGATTTAGTTTTCCTACTTCATTCTTCATTCTTCATGCTAGCATATTAATTTATGATGGTGCGGTTAAAATGTCTTGTTTATTTTTAAATTAGCTGATTTATTTTTAATGTTCCTTGTTAGCTGAAACTACGTCCCTCTCGACCCCACTTCTTTTGCTTATTTCAGATGCTGTGCACTTTTTCCGTTTTGTGACTGAAGCTATATGTGCAGCTTAGGGATAGTGGGTTATATCCTGTATATTTTTTGTGCTATAGAGGAGAGAGGCAACATATTGATTTGTCAAAATGATTTCATGTCATGCTTCCGATTTCATGAGCGCTAAGACTTTCTCTTCCAGGATCCTGAAACAAAAAAGCCTCGTGTGAAGATCTATGTTGACAAAGAAACTGGAAGAAAAAAGGGAGATGCACTTGTCACTTATTTGAAGGTGATTATGCAGATATCTAATTAATGTGTGGATGCAGACATATGCAAATCTACATGCTTGTAATTTCTGGAAGTTGCATGCTTGCTTATTTTTTTCTTCATCCTGTATGGCTTCCTTATTATCATTGTTTTTAATGAATCGTTAATATGTCCGCGTAGGAGCCCTCAGTTGCCCTAGCCATCCAAATATTGGATGGAGCACCTTTTCGCCCTGGTGGCAAGGTACCGATGTCGGTTAGCCAAGCTAAGTTTGAGCAGAAAGGTAACCATTGTTTTCGGTTGATATACATAATATATCTTTCCTTCCCTGAGGCTCCCCCCCTCCTCCTCTTCTTCCCCCTTCCCTTCTTTCTTCCCCACTTAATCTTCATGACGAGATGCCTTGTTGTTATTTAATGCAGGTGATAAATTTATCTCTAAACAAGTCGACAGCAAGAAAAAAAGGAAACTGAGGAAGGTGGAAGAGAAGATACTTGGCTGGGGTATAGTCCTCTTCAGGGTCTATATTTCTCTCGAGTCCAGTAAAATTCTGAGCGTTTGGATGCATGAAGTCTTTAGATGTTGCCTCAGGCCTTCAACTTACAATGCTTGAGATAATTTCCTTGGGAAATTTCTTTTCTTTTGTTGTTTTCTTATTAAGTAGCAGAGTAGTCCATAACTGGAACCCTATTAATAACATGTCAGATTGAGTTATTCTCATTCCAAAGTTTCTGATGTCATGTAGTCTATATATCTTCCCTGTTGACATGCTTTGAGTAAGAATTTTGTGAAAGGAGTGAAGTGATTCACTAGACTGGGCAGCTGGAGCTGCTTTGTCATGGAATCGATTAGCATTCCCCGTACTCTGTCAAGAGAGGATGTCTTTCAGTTTTATTAATGTAGATCGAGTCCTTTAGATAGGAAATATAGATTATGGAAGTCATACCGTTCACTGTTACTCTATCCACATTTGTCCTTTAAATATTGGTTATTAAAATGCCTTCCTATGGTGTTATTGTCAAAACAAGGTCCTAGTAAGTTGTTGTGCCTATGAGTTACCAAATGAGAATTACATATTTGTGTTGATGTTTTTCCTGGGTGTGCCCTTAATTGGGATACTTTTTGAAGGTTTTGCTGTCATATTTGATGATACTCGCGGACATTACAATTTACATAACCTGTACAGGTGGGAGGGATGATGCAAAGGTTTTAGTTCCAGTTACTGTTGTTCTTCAATATATGTTCACACCTGCTGAAATGAGGGTAAGTTTGATACACTTATCTAGACATGAATAACTAGTATTAAGGAAAGTCATGGAAGGCATACTTTCTAAATTCTGCTTGAAAGTTGGCGCTAGCAAGTGTTGTTTTTTTTGGGGGTCGAAGGCACTGGCAAGTGCTTGCTCATTACTAGATGAGTAAGTATGATTCCTTCTTTCATTTGTCTCGTATATCAGAAATGATTTTCTTATGTTGGGATTCTGAAGGTTGTGTTTTGCCACCTTTATGTAAGAAACCTTTCTTCCTGTCATAATTAGCCCATTTTCCTTTGGGTCTTGGATGGAACATTTTATTCCTCTTAAGTCACTGTTGAGCCTTTGAGATTTTTTTGAATCAAATCATGATAAGAAGGACATCAAACATAGTGCAGTAAGTTAAATTTGCCTCCTACAGTTATGTCCATAACATTTGCAGTAGCAGAAGTTCATTCTTCATTCTCTTATGAACTTTTAATATTTGCATCTTCCAGAAGTATATCAGAGGAGAGTTGGAACATACATTTGAACTAATATGTTAAAACAAATTTTGATTTTTTTTTTGTGAGAATTGCTTATTTGCATTTGCCCCAGAAGTATATATGGGAAAAGCACGCCCAGTTATAGCACGAAGAAGCTGCCTCTGCCCTCCACATTGGAACATCCACTTGAACTAAAATGTGAAAAAAAATGCCAGAAATTAATCACGTTCTACTTTAGCAAGAATCGCTTTGTTATTTGATGAAAGATTCTGGCATGTTTTCAAGTCTATAACAGATTCTGATCTCCCTTTTTAGTCGATGTTGACTTAATTGGCCCCAAAAAGTGAGAAACCAGCCAAGAAACGAAACAGCTTATTCACTTACAGTTCAACGTAGAATTTTGGACGACTTTTTAGATACTTATGTTGTCTTCGACTGGATTTGACTTTTCTAGAAATTTTTGCAGGCTGATGAAAATTTGCGCCTGGAACTGGAGGAAGATGTTCGAGAGGAATGTGTGAAACTTGGTCCCGTGGATTCTGTAAAGGTAGTTTTAGTATTACTGTCCATTTCATGCATTGCCATTCATCTGACTGGAGAATCTTGATCTGAGAGCTCACGTCGAGGGTTTAGGATTTAGGTACTGATTGATCAATGGGCTAAAAATGTTCTTTTTTTTTTCATCCATGGATCACTTTGGTTTACCACTTGTAATTTGTTAGTAGCAAAATGAGTTTAGAGTCATTAATTCAATTATTGTTGATGGTCTCATGGTGAGTTTTGATTGCTACTTGCATTTAGTTCTCGTTTATAGTCTAAATACTAGTAATAATGGTTCTGGACCTTCTTTCCTCTTAGTATGCTGTAAGTTTGCTGCACAGACATACTGGTTTTTCTCTTCACTGATGCTTTTTATTTACTTTGCAAACTGCCTCCTTACTTTTTCATACCTCTCTCTCTCTCTCTCTCTCTCTCGGGCGCGCCATGCCATGAACCTTTGACCTCCAGGTCACATCAACTCACGCCTGACCACAAAGGCCACAAGGTTGGCCGCGGCCAGTAGCCCCCTTACTGATATACTTTCAGGAGATCTTTTTTTACAAATTTCTTGCTTGTAGCTGATGTCATTTTTCTGGCAAATTTATTATGTGAGGCGCAGAAAGTCAAGCAATGGATGATTCAGTCTTGTTAAATTCGCGCCTCTATTCATTTGATATGGTGTTCTTTTGATAATAACATCAAATCTTGGGTTTGTCTGTTTTGCCTTTCCTGCAGGTATGTGAGAATCATCCGCAGGGTGTTGTTTTGGTGAAATTTAAAGATAGGAAAGATGCTGAAAAGTGCATCGAGTTGATGAATGGAAGATGGTAATTATTTGATCTCCGATATTTGGTGCAATTGAATTTAAAATTTTGCCGCTGCATGTAAAAAGCTGATCAAAACAATCATCTCACGTTTTTCTAATAGTCTAGTAGATGCGTCCCATAGTACTTGTAAATTACATCTCTGTCAAATCTCTTTTCACATTCTTGTTAGTCTCACTTTAGGTAAATGTCAAAGAAAACTTGGTAAACTCACGTTTGAAGAAATCTGCTTGCTTTTCTCGTTTTCTTTTTTCGCTAAACGCTGGCCTTTCTCTTCTTATGTTGGTCTAACGTTTTCTTCATCACTTTCGTAATCCGGATTTACTTTGCTTCACGGTTTAGGTTCGGGGGTAGACAGGTACATGCCAGCGTGGACGATGGTTCTGTCAATCATGCTCAAGTCCGGGATTTAGACGAGGATGCAGCGAGGTTGGAGCTGTTTGGGGCTGAACTGGAAGCTGAGTGAGCTCTGCCGAATGTGTGCGTACAAGTTTTGCTATTGCGTACCTTCTGATGTCGGTTCCCCACCGTCTGGAATCTCGGGTCGCCGGCGAGATCTCGACTTGTACAGAAGAGAGTGTCTAGAGGGTGCAAGGAGCTACACCTACATGTGATGTTAGGGATAGCCTTTTTATTTCGACCGGCCCTCCTGAACTTCTGCAACTTCTGTCTAGAGCGTTCTTTTGCCGGATTCTCGAGTTCATCTGGGTTCCATTCTTTGATGCTCTCTTTCGAATCTGGGAATTCTGCAGATGAAAGCTGAACTGATTTTTGGGGTCACTCGTAGACCAGGATCTCATGGAAATAACATTAGCTGCTTAACCCACCGAATGCTGTTTATACTTGTTTTTCATCAATTTCATTACTTTCTGTAGTCATGAGTAAACATATGACGTGAATCAGTTGCAGTTGATATGAACACATTTCACTTAATAGTAAAAGTTTATTGATGACGTTAATTGTAGAATAAATTAAAATATTAATAGAAAAGTTAAGCAAACTGAAAACACATCTTACTACCAAAATGGCAAAATGTCCGTTTATAAATTATAGTGATCATTTCATTGAATTTTGATTTAACGTGTGATATTATCTTCTAGACTTTTAATTTGTTGAATGCAGTTCTTGAATTATTGATAAATGTCAATAGTCTCTAAACTTATAAAAATGATTAAAAGTTGGGGGATCATATTGCACATTAGATAAAAGTTCAACAATTACGTTGAACAAATTGAAAGTGCAAGAACGATATTGCATATTGGATAAGTTCAAGGACGACATTGGAACTTCTTTCTTTTACTACGGTATTTCTTTTATCTTTCTTATCGACGTGCACGGGTGTTCACGAGCACCGTCTAGAAGCTCGATCTTTTCTTTTCTTACCAAATGCCTTGGGAAGAGGCACAAAAAGCACACGTGACGGACGAGCACGTACTCGTCGGCCCGGCGAGGCGGGCATTAATCTTCGCCGGCGATGAGTTTCATCGAAACAAAGTTGCCGCGATCCGAGGGCTCTTTTGAAACAAACCCTACGTTTTGGGGGACTTTTGAGAAATTATCACTATTTCCAGGGGTATGTCTGAAAAAAAAATTTCCCAGGAAAAAATTGCAGTTCTTTTTGATGAGCAACAACAACAGACTTTTGCTCTGTGTCTGCTGCTATTTCTTGCTTAGGAGTCTTTAGGGTTTTAGCGAGAGAGAGAGAGAGACAATGTGGAGATCAGGGCTGAGGTTGTCTCGCCGCCGGCTGCGGCGGAGCTCGCATTCGCTCGGGATCTCGCCGGCGACCCCGTCGGAAGCTCCTCCTCCTCCTGCTTCGGCGCCCACTCGTCTGTGCTCCCTCGTCTTCCCCAGGGCTCCCTTGAACTGGAACGCCAGATCCATCTCCCACCGGTCTTTCAGCTCCGGCGAGGCCGGCGGGCTCGACGGCGAGGCGCCGCGTCTCGGCGCGGATGCCGGCGGCCGGATGGTGGGCGACGTCGCGGCCGAAGGAGAAGAAGACGTGGGCGGCGGCGGCGGCGGCGGCGGCGAAGGCGAAGGCGACGGAGGCGCGGAGGAGGCCGTCGAGATCGACCTCGAGCAGTTGGAGCGCGTGCTGTCGCTATTGCAGAGCACCGCCGACGGGTCGTTGGAGTCGACCCTCGACGAGATGCGCTTGGCCCTGCATCCGCAGTTCGTCATTAGCGTGCTCGAGACCCCGCTCCTCGTGGGCGACAACGTCCTCCGTTTCTTCAGGTGGGCTTCCTCCAAGCATTCCGATTTCGAGGTGACCACCCCCGTTCTCCGAGCTCTCGTTCCGTGCATTTGCGGTGGGGGCGGCGTCGGCAGCGGCCATTTGAGGCGGAGAGACGTGTACGCGTTGTGGGATTTGATCAAGGAGGTCGGGGAGAAGGGGAACGGCGTGGTGGACGCGGCCGTTCTCAATCCTTTGATGGCTACGCTTTCGAGGTTGGGTAAAGGGAAGGCTGCGCTCGAGGTGCTCGACAGGTTCGATGAATTCGGATGCGTTCCTGACGATATGTCTTACTATTTTGCTGTAGAGGCGCTCTGTAGGCGCTCGATGAACGACCTCGCGTGGTCCGTGTGCGAGAGGATGCTTAATGCGGGACGCTTGCCCGACGGCGATAAAGTCGGGAAGATCGTATCTTGGCTTTGCAAGGGGAAGAAAGCCGAATGTGCCTACTCGGTTTATTTAGCTGCCAGGGAGGGCAACTCACCCCCTCAATCCTGTATAAACTTTTTGATTGCCTCGTTGTGTCGAGAGGATCAGACAGCGAAATTAGGTAGGGAGTTGCTGGGTGACTTAAAAGGGGAGGCACGGAAATATGCTATTAAGCCATTTTCTGCTGTCGTTCGCGGTCTTTGCAGGAGTGGGGATCTCAATGGGGCGAAGGAATTGCTCAATAAGATGATTGCCGAGGGACCAGCTCCGGGAAATGCGGTTTTTAACTATGTGATCAGCAGTTGTTCGAAGGCCAAGGAGATGGGATTAGCTAGGGAGTTGGTGAAATTGATGGAAGCTCGGGGATTGAAACCTGATGTGTATACTTATACCGTCATCATTAGTGGTTATGCAAACGGTGGTGAGATGGATCAGGCCAGGGAAGTCCTGTTGGAGGCCAAAAGGAAGCACTCTACGCTGACACCAGTGACTTACCATACGCTCATCCGTGGCTATTGCAAACTTGAAGAATTTGATAAGGCCCTCGAATTGTTTAGTGAGATGAAGAATTGTGGAGTGCAGCCTAATGTTGATGAATACAATAAACTAATTCAGTCGCTTTGCTTGACGGCGTTGGATTGGGAGAAGGCGGAGAAATTGTTGGAAGAAATGAAAGAGAGAGGACTATATCTAAATGGAATCACGCGGGGGCTCATTAAAGCCGTCAAAGAATTGGAAAGTGAAGCAGCGGACACCAGAGAACCAACGGCTGTAGCTTAAACTACTGGTACTAGCTTGTTGGTCAAGTCCGGCATACCTTGGACATCCTTCCCAGTTTATGAACAACAAATAGGATGTTTGGCCGAACCCTTTGTTCAACGTAGTATGTTTTTTCTGAGTCTATCAACAGCCGATAGGACTTTTGACTGAAACCATCGTCCAACATAGTATCGGCAGTTTTCTTTCTGCGGCTTAGATACATGATGTTACAGGTCAGGAGATGGTAACAAGTGTAAGTCAGATCAATTTTACTTAGGAGAGACATATAACGTGCTTTTGTTGTCTCCGTTTCGCCCATAAAAATAAGAAGATTTGAGAGAGAGCATGTATTGCATCTGGTTTTAGTCGCAACATTTCCTTTCCACACCTTGGTCCAGCAAAACAACTAATAACAATTCAGAGGACAGTAGTGATTTGTCCACGTGACTTCCTGTTTACTTGAAAGCAAAATGAGTTTACTGAAGTTGTATCGGTTGCTAAAAAGAAACGGATTTGGTTTTACGGCAGCATCAAGTTTTACTGGTAATTTAGTGATGGGGAGCTGGATTAGTCGGTATAGATACTTCCTGTGAATATGTGCATTTTCGTGTACAATGGTGAACTCTTTGTATAGATGCTGCAGATTTTTCATCCTTTTGGGACGAGAGAAATGGGAGGTAACGTTTCTCTTCTATAACCATTATCTGCTAAATCCTCCCATTGAGCAAGGGAACTTTTCTTAGTTAGGGAAATGATTTTCTCGTAGTTTGGAATGGAGGAAAGGTTCCTGGTCTATACCCATCTCTGCTAAAAAGGAAAACACTGGCACCTCCATTTGAAGCTTTTGTGTTTGTTTATTTGTCCATCTCCTCTGTTGTGTTGCTGCCGACACAAGTGTGTCTGTTAGGTTATGTAAAAAGGCCTATTTTCTTTATAGCTGCGATCAATACACAACCATACTTAACGTAAGGACATTCGAGCAGTAGTTGATTTTGTCCTTCTGAAGATAAACTGCAACTATTTTGGGCGAATCACGGTGGGTTGGAATTGAGCGCGGGGCGTTCCTGCTCCTTGCGGCGACGTGACTTTTGGGTGAGAGTTCGGGTTATGGAACATATCTAGATCGTTGGGATATCTCCAATTTCAATTGGTGGGCAGCTCGTTCTGTAGATGTCGAACTTGCTTCATTTCGATAGACAACGGCACTCATTATTGTTGTGTGTGACATGGTCATCTACTTACTAGATCCATTCATTATTTTCAATTTTTGTGCGTCGACCAGCGTTGTGCATAAGTAACACGCTGGAAAAATAATAACACGGTTGGCAATTTTAAGTGTCAAAAAACATCGTAAGTTTTGTCGAACATACCGAAGAGTTGAGCTTTTAAACAGGCATCGATTGTAAAGTTGTCGCCGCCCTATACAGAGACCCATAATAATTGTATTTTGGTCATTCTTGCTAAGCAAATGTCCTCCCCAAAAGAAAATTTGCACCTTTTGAGTCTAATGCATCGTTACATATCCATCTTAGACTCCTAGTCACGATTTACAGAAGATGTAAAAAAGCACATGAATTCTTTTGGAACGGAAATCAGTAAATTGATGACTTTTCACAAATAACACAAACAACCAACCCAAGTGTGATTGTCGGCATACACTACTAAACACAACTTCCCGAGTGAAAAGGTAAAAGGAAAAGTGAAGTACATAAAACATGTTGGCTTAATAGACTCCACAACAATCCTCAGGAATAGAGCACAAAGAACCTTCGTTTCCACGTTCCTGAAAAATTCGAACTCGCTCAAAGCTTAAAATACCTCGGAGGAGGAGATGCACATATGTAACAAAATGGAGAAACTTATTCATGGATTATAACGTTTCGCATGGTGGCTTCCTTTCCTCTTTACATTGGCAATCAGCCACTTGACATTTAATTATCCTCAAGAAACTGGCTTATCTCGCGAAAGCACTGGTGTTTTACTCTTGTTTGTGCTTGACACCACCCTATGAAGCCAAGGTGAAGCCGGTGGCAACCACACCTCAAGATCCAATGTCCAACCCTGTAACTGCCTCCAGTAATTGCTTATGCTGGCCTCTAAATCCAAAACAAGTTTTTGTACATATTGAGAAGGAAAACAAACGAAGTTTTGGCGGAAGGCAGCAATGCTTGTGAACCAGAGTGCAACAAGACAATAGTCGTCAGCTTGTAGCAATTTACTCACTGTCAACAATGCCTGAGCTTGTGCACCACTAGCACCTGTCATTTCATGGACTATGTAAATTGCGAAAGTGGTCAACCATGTCATAGGAATCACTAAGTCGTTGGAGATCAGATCGGTGAAGGAGATTAACTTGTGCTTGCTTGGAATCCAAAGATACATGGTCAACTTGTTTCCCTTTGGATGAAAAGCAGTGCCGAACGCGAATACGGTGATTCCTTGTCTCAGTCATATAGCTGCTACTCACCCTCACCTCTAATATAACTTCCTTGTCTCTGTTGTCCTCACACCACCAGTTCCGAGGGACACCATCGACACACTCCTCCAAGGTCTGGAACTTTTCATGATGAACTGATACCTCAGTGGTATGTTCTGGTTTAATAATGCCAGAAACTGGGCAAACCTGGTTTAATGAAAATACCAGACATGAAATTAGCCAACTCCACTTTAGATCCTCCCATTAACTTAAACGATTGAACAAAAGGCTGCCAACACCCAACAGATATGATAGAACTCCGGGAGAAAATATCTGCATGACATCCCATTAGTCGACAGCTTCTAAACGTAAGATGTCACAGTCAACCACTGCAGAGCATGGCACTCATCTAAATAATAATTTTTCTCCTCAAAGTGCCACTGAACCTAACCAACAATCATAAAAGATTTTTCAAAGAGCTAAACTAGTCTACAAGTTAAGTCAATCAAAGCCAAATCAATCAGAGGGCAGACCCACCTTGTAAGTCCCAACAATATACTAGTTAATAATTTACCACATCTTCAGAAGATCAACTACCATTAACAGTTTCAAGATCAGCTCCCTGGCTCGATTTATTCTTTTACTAACGTCTTCATATAAATAACCAAAAGTTAAATTTTTCAAGAAACATTTAAAACCATAATATCAAATAAAATTCGAAGCCAGAGTCTTACCCTAAGCCATTGTGGAAAGCCAAAAAAACCTCTTGGGTTATGGTCTAATGCCTGTCCATCTTCTCTGATCATAGAGACACCTTCACAAATTATTTGAAATAAAGCATCATTCTTCCCAGATTTATTTGTAATCCGCAAAATAGACGTATCCTGATTTTGAAGGATTATGTTGTTGGTGCTGACAATGGTTTCCGGTATCACAAATAACCCTTTGAGCATAGACTTAACTCTCTCATTTTGGGCAACAACTTCACCAAATTCTTGCCTCCGCACTGACTCATCGACTCGAGCTATATCCATGTTAAACATACAACGAACTGGTTTGTGATCACTGTCTGTCACATCCATGCAAGACTCATATCTGCAATTGAACATTGCAAAATCACAGCAGTTATGCATAGTCAGATCTATGAATATAAGCCTGAATCAACTTCCACTGATTTCTCGAAAGAACATGCATCCAAGAGATTAGAGAGTTTAGAGGTATGCTTAGGACAAGAGAGAAAGAGGAGGGAGAGGGAGGGGGAGTGGAATCCAATGGCAACAAGTGCTTGAGTTAATGATGCTTATAGGAATCCTGTGATGTATTTATGAGAACACAAATTCTATTGAAATGTAGCTGGGACTTGTCAAGGTTAGCTGAGGTTTACATGGAAGACCAATGCTTGTGCGAACCATGTTAAACCAGATGCTCACGCACACTAAAAGGTCACGATAAGCAAATGCAACATGCCTCCAAATCACAGGTTGTCATGTCAGGAGGCCTTTTAACAGAATAGCATTACACACGATAATACTAAAACTTACCGTACTACTGAAGAGACTACAGGACACTCTAAACTGCATTCAGATTCCAGAGCTGAGCGGCTATCACGGTACAAAATTCTGTCACACCATGCAGGAATGCGCTTCTTTTCACCAATATCATACCCTAGAGCAAACAGAAAGTTTAGTGCTCAAGAGATTCAACATCATTAACCATAAGAACTTTACAAGACCAACCAACAAAGAGGTGCTCATCCTGGTTTACTAGGGGACAGTAAGATATTTCTTTCATCTGCCACATATACCAGCAATGACGGACACTATGGTAAATTAACAGCTGATACCAAATTCACATTGAGAAACTACCTGCTATTCCAGCCTGGTGCCGTTCAAACTTGTATGTAGGAGGAAATTTAACAACTGCTTCACGCATTCCTTGGAAAACATTACCGGCTTCCATTTCTGCTCGGAGCTGATCCTTCTCCCAAAGCCAATCAAAACTTCTCTGAGAAACAAAATCTCTGGCTTCATCAAATGTTACACCATCAACCCGGTAGTTGAAATCGCCCAAAAATATGACCAAATCTGCCTCAGACAACTCGGGCATTACTTCAGCTGACTGGGAGATAACTCCCTGCTCAGAACAAATACTAAATCAGTACCAACCAGAACATCATAGATCATTACGTGTGACTAGATAATGTCAGAATGATACCAGTGTTGAGATTTTATACCTACATTTGTTCCACGGAGCATTTGCACAGCAGAAGAAGCACCGACTGCAACAGAAAGGATCAATGGCAAGCCATTTGTGTAAGCAAGCCAACATACATACACCATGCAGGCAAGTTTACAACACAATAACAGGTTTGATGGTATACCAGCTACTGCATTGGAAAACGTAGATGCTCTGGTGAAGGTCATGCTCCTATATACATGATCAAAATCAGCATTCCGACGAGCAACTGCTTCAGTATGGGCAGCGAAGTGACAATTTACAAAGCACATGATTCGATCATACACTCTAATCCTCAAACCAACAGCTCCCTGTTTGTATTTCAACCACGTTAACAACAATAATCCAAAATAAAGGAAGAAGAGGAGGGGGTTTTTTCCTTTTCTTTTCTTGTTTTTTGGTTTGGGGGGAGGGATTGCATGGTAGAGAGCACTTAAAAGTAAACATGTGAACAAACAGATATGTCTTCTCAAAACACACATGTAAGCTAAAAATCTATCAATGAAAGCAACCAAAGAAATAGTTCAACTTTTTCAACAACTCGAGCATCCTCGACCATTAACTAAAATGGTCGAAGCTTTTTTCTACGAGGATGCTGGCACGAATTCACTACCATGAAGATAGCAAGACAGGCAAGCCAAGGAGAAAAAGTATGAAGTTCACAAGTTACAAAGCTTGACCAGTGAGTAACGGCATAGCATATACTCTCTATTGTGAGGCACAGATTATCAACATCTACTTACTGGGCTTATCTCACTCCTCAAACTGAACCCTGTATCCTAGTCTATAAACACCGTAATCCTACCATATCCCACCCAAACGTAACAAAGGGCATCTGTTGTCCTATCATGCCCTAAATTAAAATCACCAGACGAGAATATAACTTACTCTTCTTTTTTTTTTTGCTAAAAATATAACTTCCTATTCTTAAGAACAACAGAGAAGAGAAGTTGTCAGTCAGTCAGAGATTAAACATGCTCCTTTATGAAATTTCATTGTATTATGAGATTACTACAATGAAACATTCTCGTAGCAATAAGCAATAAAGAAGCAGCCAAAAGTGTATACCTTGTTTCCAATTGCACGCCCAAAGCCACACGGAACTGCTGCAGCATCAACATCTCCAGCATGAGGTTTTAGAGTATTTCTCACCCTGACAGACACTTTACACATTAGAGGAGAAACTTCCCATTAATTGATAAAGGATAAAGTAAAAATGTATTTCCTTACATACGTAGTTTACAGCTAACAGACAACTTGCTTGAATACTCTTTAAGTGTTGATGAAAATGCAGAGACATCTCTACCATTTCAAATTGTGTCTTGCCCCTGGTAAAAATATTTCGGGCCTACATATTGCTGATTAATTTTGAGGTGGCTCGTAGAAATGAGCTTAATAAAATGTAGGATCTTTTAATCGACTGTAGCAACTCAGTTAAACATACACTTTTATTTCTTCATATCGTAAAGGGTGTTTGCCAATATTAAGGAAAAAGGAACATTCCATATCACTTGTGATCAGAGCAAAGAACTGACCACAAGGTAATGAGCAAGCCAGCTAGTTGCCTGGAGCCCATACGTTCAAAGGTTGACCCCTCATCCAATGTTTCACCAATCACAGCCAGCCACGAATCTCCAACTGAACTACCCTCAAGCCCCACCTATAAATAAAATACTAAATTAGTTGATGCAGGAAATATGACGCAATTCTCCTGATTTTATTTTCTTCTGGAAACATTACCACTGCTGCATAGGGTGTCATATATACTGCACAAAACCTTACCAGAGTCTCAATAAAATTTAGTGAGGGTTGCAAATTACAGTGGGAAGGAATGATAAAAGAAATACCCAGTGATTTTTTTTGACTTGCATTTGAGAAGAGTGGAATTGGAGGAGAAAATTGTGAATACCCCTAAAGTCAGATGGTTGATTTAAAAGAGAAAGATGCACTCCCTTCGAGGATTAATTGCTGGGACAGGGAACACTGGATATCACAAATGACATGTATATTCAGAATGATAGGGGAAAAAAGTTGTTTTCTATTCCAATTTCCTCTAACAGACTCTAAGAAGCAGAGAACAGTCCATGCGAATGATTAACAAAAGAAGTCACTTACTGTTTCTCTGGCTGCAGACACAGCTAGAAAACCAGCGCCCATTTCAACTTCTTGCAGCCCAACAACAACGATATTTGCATCAGAGGCCGCAAAGCCCAGCCATGATATAAGAGAGTCTCTAGAAGCTCTTTCTTGTCCAACATTCCATGTGCCAGCCAATATTTTTATGTTTTCTATCCTAGCGTACAAAAACTCCTTGCCAGCCAATTCTGAACGTAGTATGCTGTCGATGGGTCCAGGAGATGTAATGCTCCACCCACGTACACCACCATGTTTAGCCAAGCTGAAGACATATCCAGCCCCTACAGCTAATTTTAGAACGGGACTGCTGTGGGCTACCCATTCTCCTATCAGATTACCCTCAAGGTCCAGTACCTGTATATAACCACTTGCATAACCAACCCATATGCGAAGTCCAAATGTACAAAGACATTGCACAGGAAAAGAGAGGTACTGGAAATCTTGCAGGCGATTTCCATTTCCATCCCATTGTATCAGTAAGCCACTCGCACACCCAGTCCAAACCATCCCATCTATTGTCGTAACAAGTGCTTCTGTTCTCCTAGAATCATCTCCAAATGCCCCTTTTGTTGCCACTCGACGAACAGCATCAGCAGCTCCTAATATAACATTGCGAGACCGCTGAAAAAAACCAGAGGAGCCCTGTGATTTTTCCTTTCTTTGACTAGAAAAATATTCCATTGAAAAATCCTGCGGTGTTGAGATGTCGCCTCGGCTCTCTACCTGTCCATCTACACTGCACACTTTCAACAACTCCCTCGTACGAGCATCCCTACACAGCAATTATCCCAATAAATGAAACTTAGATTTCAAATTTGAATCTGCAATCTCCATGATTAAGAAAGGGGAGACCCACAACTGCTAAGGTAATCATTTTGCTGATGGTCAACCAGATGAAGAAGAGGAAAAACTACAAGGATGAACACAGAGAGACCCACAGCTAGGTTGAAGAGAGGTGCAAAAAGATCTCCTAGGCAGTTATTCTCGCAATAAGGAAAACAAGTCTGTTGAAATAAAGCATAGAAAAATACATGCACTAAAAGTAATACTGTCCTAATTGCATGAAGTCATAAGCTTCATTTGCAAAAGCTTATTAAATATTAATTTAGGTATGTTCAAATAAGACTTGGCAAATACCGATATACAGGCCTCCATCCTCCCAAATTGTCTCGCATATCCACAGATAAGGACTGAGAACAGTTCATCGACATTACCTTTCATATTAAAACCATCTGAGACACTGCAAAAATATCCATGGTAATGTGCAAATTGACGATTCCATGCTTGAATTTGAATAGTGGCGGTTGCTTATTGTCAAATAAAGGTGAAGAATCAGACACCCATTCATGAGAATTCACAAAAAAATCAAACTCATTACGAAGAATTGATTGGACAAAAGAAAATCATGATAACAAGTCGGAAGAGCAAATCAAGCTATATATATATATAACTCCAATAGCAGTATCAAATATGCACATACCACAGGGCAAACGACTGATTTCCAAAGCTCCACACTTTTCCCGCATTATTATCTGAAAATAAGTGCTTGACATCAGCTGCTAAACTGTTACTGAAATTATTTGTGTTAACATAGTTCCGAGGGTCAATATATGATCTGTCCACAATGGAAGCAGCCATATGTCTTTCTTCCATTGTTAAAGAAAGAGATTTCTCAATACGTTCCCATGGCCAAATTTTGATAACACCACCCTCTGAACCTGACCACAGATCCCCTGAATTGAAGAGAAACTGACTTAGGTTCAGAGAAAGCTAAGAAAACAACGCTCTTGATAATGAAATCACATATCTACTCTGATGTCATTCACCATAAATCAACGGAAGGATCTATACCCCCAAAGGAAAAAAGAGGACTCAGGGATAAGTAATAAAGTGATAGAATAAGCAGAGAAAGCAAGAAGTCCAGCATTTTTACAATGAACAAAAAAAGATAGAGAATAAGGAACCATGATAGTATCTATGAGAAAAAATTATAGCCACTTCTAAGTTAACCTAGCAAAAATAATCCCTACCAGACAATATTTTTCTCAACAAACAGCTGGACAAGTAAGTTTAGTGGGGGAAAAAGATCATAACATGAAAGTGCAGAACCCAGTGGTGCATAAGTATTAAAACAGAACATAGATCCAGAGGTGGGGGTGGAAGGTTAAGTTTGCACTACCAGACCTGGAAATATGCCTGGAAATGTTGAGCATTTCGATGCACTAGTGTTCTCAAGTACTTCTATCATTAAATCTCTATCCACTTAGAAGATTTTGCTTGCTCTCACACAATTATTTCTTTTTAATGATAGATAGATTGCATTAAGAAGGTGCAGAGGGGGTACCACCCCTATACAAAATCGCTTCAGGTGGAAGCGAACCATATACAAAATTATGCACAAAAGACTATTATTAACATTTCCAACAAATTAGACGTATCAAATTGACCTTTCCAGCTATACCAAAAGTGAAGAGTGTACAACCAATAATCCCTAAAAAACAGTTCCAAGAGGATTTAACTCCTTCAAATGCCCTTTTGTCCTCTCTCTCCAAATGAGCCAAAAAAAAAGAGAGGAATCATTAGCAATCTGTTTCGTTCCAACACACCAACTGAAAGTCCCTCTCCAAGCCCAAAGTTCATATTGCACCGTGCCTGAGGTCACCCATTTACTCCTAAAATTGCAAAAACTCTTATTGTTCCTGGCTACAATTTAAAAGTAAGTAATTCGCACTCTATTATTCAGTCTTGCACAAAAAAATCCTATTCCTCTTTTTAATACTATTCAAAGTAAGAATACGTTCCCAAGCAGCTTCCCAAGCAAAAATAGAAACTTTCAATGGAACCTTGACATATCAGAGAGATTGCCAAATCTCACATAATTATATAAAAAGGAACATGCCTGAACAATCCACTAAAGCATCTATCTGGTGCCACACTCTTATCACAATTATCAGTCAAATAAAAAACTCGGTCTATCAAGCAAATCATCATGACACCCCAATGAACGATTAAAATATTCCCACATCTGTCAAAGAATAGCACATTGTACACAACTCAGCCCTGAGTTCATCACAAACACAACCAAATGCAGCCCCACCACTTTATTAAACACAAATTCAGCCCATATCCATTAGCTAAACCCATTCACAAGCTATAATCCTGAAATCGGGCAAAGAGTAAACATGCACCATAAACCCTTTACAGACTCAACAATTCAATTAATTGCAGCAATACTAGCAGGTTCAATTTGGTGTCTGGAGCTGTAACTTGCATACATCAGCTTACAAACCTTTTTGAGAGCCCATGAGAGTATTTGGTAGCACAAGCACCAATAGACTTATAGACACCAAATACACAGCCACATCAATCGAGACCACCATATAACTATTAAAAAGAATAGTATTGACACATCAATAATTGCAACTTGACAACGATCTTTCAAATCATCTGCTGCAAAGTTATGAAAGAAGGAGACTAAAAAACTTATCAGACTCCAGGGCAGAAAGAATGGACCCTTTATCATTTGGGTGACATGCATCTTATGGATGCTTGTAGCTGAAGTTATTTCCATTTCAAAGAGGAAAGAAGCTCTTCAGCTATAGAATTTCCTCTCAGCCAAAATACTTCACTCCATTTCTCTAAGACACAAAAGATTGGGACGGAGAAAATGTACGTGATTTCTCGTCTAAGTTTTGTCCATTAGTTTACTAGGCTACCTTTGATTTTGTGGATTTGGTATTTGTAAAATATGTAATGAACATCGGCGGTCAACACTCACTAAGCGAAGTTAGATATATCAGCTCCTTTTAGCTATTGTGCTTTATTTAGTACAAAAGTTCAAAACATCGGGTTCTAAAGTCTTCCCTTATCCATTGTACCATCCATCTCCACAGAAAGTCGACTCCTTTTACCTATTGTGCTTTATGTAGTACAAAAGTTCAAAACATCCGGTTCTGAAGTCTTCCCTTATCCACTGTACCATCCATCTCCACAGAAAGTCGAATCTTCTTTTTGAATCATCTAACTGTCCATCATTTCGCAAGTACGAAACCTAGGATAGTGCGTTGAAGGGCTAACATACTGTTACATTGCAGTTAGTGCTAGATATGCATTGCAAGTGGATCTCCATTACGTAAAAGCGAATGCTCATGCCCAAACAACTTGGTCTCTAATGCACGACCAGAAACTAGAATTATATCAACACTGGTTGAGCAGGAAGAGCTAACCATAAGAAGAGATCACGAGGGAGAGAACGGGGCCCCGATGAGCGTGCCACGAAAGTGTTTCCTTGAAGCGAGTCTTCTTACTGCTACACGCAGCAGCAACAGAAGAAGAAGCACCGAACGACATGCTCCAGCACCTGATTCTGCCGTCCCGGTGACCGCTCCACACCAGCTGGCTCGCCTCGTCGGCCACCAAGCACAAGGTGGGCGACATCCCACCCGCCGACTCCCTGTAGGGAACAGTGTCGGGCTCGGCGTCGGCTCCTGTGCCGACGCCCTCGCCCCTCGCCGCCGCCGCGTAGATGTTCGCGCCCAAGTCCCAAACCCTGACGCCCCTCTCGCCGCCGGCCCACAGCTGCGAAGGGGTGGCCACGAGAGTCCCCAGGGCGCACCCGATTTGGGTCTCCCTCAGCGGGTGCGGCCTCACCTCCACGCACGGCGGCCGCCCCGGGTGGACCGCCGCCCTCGCCGGCAACTTGAAAACGCCCGCGCCCCCTCCCCGGCCCACGAACTCCGGCAGCGCCGCCGATCCCCTCGGATCCCGCTCGCCGCTCGGAGCATCGGACGGAGGAGAGGAGGTAGCAGTAGACAGCTTGCGATCCAAGAACTGGAGCATGCAATCGAGGCGCCTGGTGGTGGAGGAGATGGCGCCGCCCGTTTCGGCTCCATCGCCACCGCCGCCGCCCTCCTCCTCCTCCTCCTCCTCGGAGGAGGACTCGAAGCGGGGACTGAAGGAGGGCGGCGGCGGCGGCGGCGGAGGAGATTGGGGAGGAGGAGGAGCGGCGGCGGCGGCGGAGGTGGGACCCGTGAGGAGGTCGAAATAGTAATTGTCGCTCATCCTCTCGACGGCTGGAAGGAAGAGAGAATCGGATCGGACAGCGCGCAAATCGGGGTGTGTGGCGTGCGTATACCGTCGCCGTCTTTTGCCTGATCTTCAACCCGACTTTTCATTTCTTGTTTGGGAAACTTGGAGAAATCGCTCCGAGCTTTGTCCCGATGTGAAATGCGATTTCTCAACTTTTGATTTGTTCAATACGATCTCTAAACTTTACTTCAATATACAACATCGTTCCTGAACTTTTGATCGATTTGATGTGATTGGGGGACTAAATTGAACATATATTAAAAATTCATGGATCACATTAAATTAATTAAAAGTTCATAGATCACATTACACATTGAGGTGAAGTTTAGAAACCGTATTGAACAAATTAAAAGTTCATGAATCATATTAGACTAAAGTTCATGAACTATTTATGTCATTGTCATATCTTGTTTCCTTTTTCTCCGGCCATGAATTTCTTATTTCAATTTTCTAATTATAATTAACTCGTAAAATTTCCTAAACTTGTTTAATTTGCATAATGCTTCCTTAGTTCAACACCTTGATGTAATCACGCTCAGTAGTTTGACTCTATTGCTTAATCCGAATTAAGTTTACTTGCTTGATTAACGACTACCAGGCATATTGAACAAATCGAGGTGAAGTTTAGGGACTGTATTGAACAAATTAAAAGTTCAGGAATCATATTGAGCCAAAATTCAGGGCGTGCTTATGTCATTATCACATCTTGTTTCCTTTTTTCTCCAACCACGAATTTCTTATTTCAATTTTCTAATTATAATTAACTCGTAAAATTTCCTAAACTTGTTTAATTTGCATAATGCTTCCTTAGTTCAACACCTTGATGTAATCACGCTCGGTAGTTTGACTCTATTGCTTAATCCGAATTAAATTTACTTGCTTGATTAACGACTACCAGGCATATTGAACAAATCGAGATGAAGTTTAGGGACTGTATTGAACAAATTAAAAGTTCAGGAATCATATTGAGCCAAAATTCAGGGCGTACTTATGTCATTATCACATCTTGTTTCCTTTTTTCTCCAGCCATGAATTTCTTATTTCGATTTTCTAATTATAATTAACTCGTAAAATTTCCTAAACTTGTTTAATTTGCATAATGCTTCCTTAGTTCAACACCTTGATGTAATCACGCTCAGTAGTTTGACTCTATTGCTTAATCCGAATTAAGTTTACTTGCTTGATTAACGACTACCAGGCATATTGAACAAATCGAGGTGAAGTTTAGGGACTGTATTGAACAAATTAAAAGTTCAGGAATCATATTGAGCCAAAATTCAGGGCGTGCTTATGTCATTATCACATCTTGTTTCCTTTTTTCTCCAGCCATGAATTTCTTATTTCAATTTTCTAATTGTAATTAACTCGTAAAATTTCCTAAACTTGTTTAATTTGCATAATGCTTCCTTAGTTCAACACCTTGATGTAATCACGCTCAGTAGTTTGACTCTATTGCTTAATCCGAATTAAGTTTACTTGCTTGATTAACGACTACCAGGTATATTGAACAAATCGAGGTAAAGTTTAGGGACTGTATTAAATAAATTAAAAGTTTAGGAATTATATTGAGCCAAAATTCAGGGCGTGCTTATGTCATTATCACATCTTGTTTCCTTTTTTCTCCAACCATGAATTTCTTATTAGAAAATTATAACTCGTAAAATTTCCTAAACTTGTTTAATTTGCATAATGCTTCCTTAGTTCAACACCTTGATTTAATCACGCTCAGTAGTTTGACTCTATTGCTTAATCCGAATTAAGTTTACTTGCTTGATTAACGATTACCAGGCATATTGAATAAATTGAGGTGAAGTTTAGGGCTGTATTGAACAAATTAAAAGTTCGGGAATCATATTGAGCCAAAATTCGGGCATGCTTATGTCATTATCCCTTCTTGTTTCTTTTTTTCTCCAACCATGAATTTCTTATTTCAATTTTCTAATTATAATTAACTCGTAAAATTTCCGAAACTTGTTTAATTTGCGTAATGCTTCCTTAGTTCAACACCTTGATTCAATCCCCATCCAAAGTAGTTTGGCTCCATTGTTTAATCCAAATTTCAATTTACTTGCTTTGGATTGACGACTACCGGGCAGGTTTCATCCATTTGATTCATGACTCCATTCATGCACGAGTGCTCAACACGAAGATCTCGTCTCGTCCAAGCAAGATCCTCCTTTTTGTTTGGGTTTCGTTGCAGGGACGGAGAGATTCCGCTGTCCAGAAGTCTCTCTTCAAGCCATCATTTGATTGGGAATGGAAAGCAGCCACTTGTTTCGTGAATTCCGACTGCTTCCCATTCCATTGAAGCAGCCGGCACTACCCTTTGAATATAGGTAACCCCGAGCTCCTTAGATCGGAGAATGTATGGCGTAAAAACTCGCTTTGAAAGTTGAACAAGTCAAATGGTAGAAGATGGCCGAGGCAATTTTTGCAAAAAGAGAAAAGTGGGTCAAGGGAATGCTCCATGACTCCCCCCCCTTTTTTTTTTTTTTGGGGTCCGAAAGAAAATTTCATTAAGGTAGAGTTCGAGCATACATCGGTAATGCTTCGGAGCAAATAAGAGCTCATAGGGCATGAGGAGGGTACAAAGTCCACACATGGAGAAAGAGCTCTTCTATATTAGGCCTTTGCAACCCAATCCGTCATCTGGTTTGCTTCAAGTTTGCAGTGAGCCAATTTTAGCTTTAGAAGAGAGCTGGCGCCGAGTCTGGGCTTCACTGATAAGCACGGCAACTTCGCACCGGTCTTAATTTGCGCCCGTGACACTCCTTATCAGATCTAAGTGATCCAACTTGTAGAGCGGAACTAGCCCATATTCTATGCTCGTGAAGATGCTAAAGGTCTAGGAGGAGTTGGCTCGTCCCGTCCAACCAATTCTCTCGAGACTTGATATGATGCTGTAGAGGTATCTCAAGCTTGTCCCACTTCTTCTTCTGGTTGACATATGATGAGTTGGTCAATTATTCAATAAAGCTGCAACTCTAGAATCCCTTCTTTTGCTTTTGGGCAATAGTCCATGCGTGAACCAAATATATAAAAATCGGATCTCTGTTCTCTAATTCATCGTACATCTGATTGAGGGGTTACAAGTTTTGACGCCGCTTATACTTAAATTTGCCTAAATTTATGTGTTCGATATCTAATTTATAATCACAAATCAGTGATAGCTAGAGGGAGTTTCATCCGATCCGATCGGAGAGAAATTTTTCTTTTTCACAATTCAGGAGCACGGACGTGAAGACCCGGCTAATTGGAGGGCCACGAAACACCCCGTCAATCAATTGAGCTCAAGCTTTCCGTCTGTTCCTATGGGCCTAACTGGGCAGTAAGGCCCACCTCTCCCTCGCTCTAGTTTGTTCAAGCTAGTTTGTTCTCGAGTCTTTTGTGTGTGGCGAGAGAAGGTATATTGTAAGAGCGAGTGTTAGATTTTTTGTGCACTACATTTTCGATGTAAGAGTGTCTCGAGTTGCCTATTACAAATTCTCGCTTTACCATCACCGCTATGTTTCTGCAATCCAACATATAAGTGGGGAGTGAACAAGCGGGCTCACTCAGTGACGCACAATTTCATTTGGGCAGTATATCAGCACTGGTAATTGTAGTCATCATCGGGAGGGATGACAATGGCACCATAGGATTCATTAGTATTCAAGGCGTGGAGATGCGAGGCTGAGCTGATCCGTTCGGCGAAACCCATGTCTTGCGAGTACGAGAGGCTGTCGAACGTCGATGACCAAGATGGCCTTCGGTCCCAAGTCCCCGGGAACCAATACCGGGGCGACGGCACGGGGAGGGCCATCCAAGAGGGGCTTGCCAAGGCACTGGTGTTATACTACCCCTTCGCGAGCCGCCCGAGGGAGTGGCCGGGCTGGAAGCTGGTGGTGGACTGCAAAGAGAAGGGTTTGGTGTTCGTGGAGGCCGACACAAACGTCACCCTCGATGATTTCGGGGACGCCCTCCATCCTCCCTTCCCCCGCTTGGAGGAGCTTCTCTCCGACATTCCCGACTCTTACCGCCATCCTGAATTCACCTCTGTTGCTCATTTAGGTACCTATCCTGGCCATGCCTTCCCATATAACGGTTGAACGAGTGTACACATAAGAATAGGACATGTAACGTTATCCAATGACATTACATTGGTACAAAACACAACTTGGCTTGGAAAGAAGACTTAAAAAGTGTAAATTCGTTGTCGTTGAAGGAAAACAATCCAGTCCGAAACATTAGGTGGGAAATAGAACGATTGCTTATCATGTTTGTGATTATTCAAGACGCGAGGCAGCATTCAATCACCTAAATTAACGCCGCCGATCATGTTTAAGTTAATTACTCGCAGACATCTTAACATCAACCAAATGGACAAACAATAATATATGGTTTCTCTAACATCTGCCTGAAAACTCAAAGTGGATTCAAAGAAGTAAATCAATTTTTTTGCACAAAAAATTACAAGCGAAAAGGAGAAAGGAAGAATGTCAACAGATGATGCTAGCAATGGAAGAATCATATATGACCCCAGAAAACATGAAACTTGCATTACTCGCATAAGTACGGAATTTAACTCTTATAATGAGGGTTGTGCATTTTTATATCACTTTTGCCAATCATGGAACTCGATCCTATGAGGAAGTAAAGCCTCCAAAATCTTGCAAAGAAGGAAAATTATTATGTTTAGTGGAAAGTTACGAGCGATAGGACCTCAAACTTTACAAGAAAATAAGGAAAATTACTATCACTCGGGGAAAATTACGAATTGGAAAAGAAATGTAGGATGAGTGGAGCACATAAATCACAAGAACTATAAAAAAAAAAAAATACTTACTATCATTGAAAGAAGGGTTAATGTCACGAAAAACCTTAAACTGATACACATGTAATAAATTTACCACAAATTAATTTTTTGAACATCAAAAATCCTAAATTGGTACACACGTGGCAAATTTACCCCAAATTAATTTTTGATCCCCAAAAACCTCAAATTAGTACACATGTGACAAATTTACCTCCCATTAAATTGAATTAATACCACGAAAAATCATAAACTGGTAAACCGGTGACAAAAAGAGGGGTAAAATCCTAAACTGGCACACCCGTCAACCGACACATTTCATTCAATTTAGCAATTTGAATGATATCTCCATGGAAAGTAGCGTGCTGAAACGTCGGAAGATGGACGGAGACGACGGACGCGATGCGATTGCTGATCTGCCGGAGTCGGTGCTCCTCCATATCCTGTCCTTCCTGCCCACGAGGGACGCCGTGAGGACGGTGATGGTCCCGAGATTCCGTTACCTCTGGACTTGTACCCGCCACTTATCTTTCGATCACTGTGCCTACCACAACTGCAAGGAGGAGGACCCTCATTTCAGCATCGACGAGAGATTCGTGAATTTTACCGACCATGTGCTGACTCTGCACGAGAACCCCACGATCGATTCGTTCCGTCTTAATTTGAACTATGCGGCCCAGCTATACCATGATGATCCTCGATATGACGATGATGCAACTCGAGAGACAAGAAGTTCGAACAAAATCGGTACTTGGATCCGTTTTGCAGTGAGGAGAAAGGTTAAGTTCCTCGATTTGAACTTCTTGGGGTGTACTAGGGAGTTCCCATATAATCTTTACATGTTGCCCAGATTTGTTCTTAGGTGTAGCTGCTTAGTAGAGCTGAAGCTGACTTCCTGTGAGGTCTGGACGGGGGGACGGGTCCAACTAAGGTCGCTTAGAAAATTGTTCATGAAGCAAATTGACTTAACTGACTTGAAAATGGCTAACATACTATCTGGTTGCCCGTTGCTGAAAGAATTGTCCCTTGAAGATTGCGATGGCCTCCAGGAGCCCAAATTCTGCCGTGTTCCATCTATTGAAGAGTTAAATTTGAAGGAATGTGGTGATTTGGAAAAACTTGATCTTGCACGATCAGATATAAAACATTTAACCATTGATTCCGTTGGGGATCTGGAGCTAGTTTGTCCTAATGTGAAGATTCTGGATATTGCTGGGTGTCTAAATTATGTCAAGGTGACTGATATGCCATCACTGGTTGATACATCCCTCTATTTCAGTCGTCATCGTAGTTGGCCATACGGGGAATATCATGAGTTCAGACTGCTTCTGGAAAAGCTCAGCTGCAGTCCTTATTTTATGCCATGCAATTTTTTGCATACTGGTATGGTTTCTCTGCTGTTGCTCCGACCTAATTTGTCTTGCTTTGAGGTACTTTTGAATGATTTGGGTCCTGATCCTTCAGGTAAGGAGTATTAGTATTTGTTTGGTAGGATAGTATCACATTTCAACTGTCCTAAAACTTGTAGAATAGAAGTTGGGTGAACTGATTTTGAATGGGTCTCATTCGAAATGGACAGTGGCTGTGCTGTTTCTCTGCTTTGGCTTCTGTGTTCTGTTGCTTTTCTTATGCTTCAGTTCATGAGGTAATGCCCTGGATGGAGAGTAAAAGAAAATATTATTTACTTAGGCTGGGTTCTTTTATACACACACACACCTAAACTTTTATATGGCGGCCTTCCTTGCATCTGCTGGCCTATGAACTTTGAGCACTTGCATCTGCTGGCCTATGAACTTTGAGCAAATGTAACCTATTATCCATAACCCACTCGTGTAGCCGAAAACTAAGCTTGTTAGGTGCCTGTCTTCCTTGTGTCCCCGTTTTCCTCGTAGCCTTTTGTAGACGATATTGTTTTCATTTTTAATGTGACATTTATTACCCTTTTAAATGTGCATGTCCATGCTCTTGTGATTTGTCTTTCTAATATTATACATAATCTGATTAATTTCTGGACAAGATTCTGAATTCAATGGTCTCATACTAATTCATTTCAGTCAGTCCATACATACACATGCTCTCGAGCATCCACAATGTATGTCCTGCAGTAATTTTCATTGAAAGTCGATCGAAGTAATTCGTTTTAAATTAGGTATTAACTATGTGGGAGCTGACAAATGAGCCAGCCCATCTTTCGCCTGGAATCATGTGACACTTCAACTGCATCTGAGAAAGCAGTACCTCCCCGGCATTTGTTGCTTGTTAAGGAATTCTCATTTTCTTGAGACACTCACTATTTATGTTTATCCTGGAAGAGATGACTATGAATCTGAGGTATGAATGCTTGAACTGTAAAATTTTATTGGAACATTCTATTTCGGAAGTAACAGAGATCAAAAAGTTGCTTTGAATTTTTAGCTTGTCGAAGCAGGGTGGAAGCTTGCATTTGAGTTCAATGGCTTTAGTTACTGGAGTTCAGTGGACGGCACATTTCCCTGCCTGGAGCACCAGCTTAAGCATGTTAAGATATACGGTTATGTACTGGAGCCTGATGTCATCGAGCTCATTGAATTTCTACTCAAGAATGCACAGGTCCTGGAGAAAATGGAGATTTCTACCAAGAAGACTCTGCAGCGAACATGTAGCAAGTACATGTTTTCCAGTGACATTGGTCGTCCATCAAAGGATTATTGGACATCAGATGCGCTGCTAGAGTTTTCGCAGAAGTTGTTAAGTTTCCCAAGGGCCTCAACACGTGCAGTAATACACCTGGGTTAGATACTGGTATTGGAATTGTGTTCACCCCTCTTTTGGACACCCTTGATGTTTCTATGTCAGGCATGTCTCACATCTGGTAGACTTTACAAAGATAGTTGGCCTTTATGATGAATTCGCCCTTTGTCCTCAGGTCTACAAATTCGCAACATCCACGACTCTGTACAGGCAGCTTTATGAATATTTCGATGGTGGATGTGCCCTTTTTTTCAAAGTATGTTTCTCTTAACAGCCTTTCTTTTCATATTCCCAACTCTTGCAAATAGTTCGGTTAAAATTTTTTCAGTATAGATTTACTTGAACAATCTATTGACACCAGTTACAAGCTGTTAATGAGTAGCCTTCGCGCTTGCGGCTGCTGTTTCTCTCTGGGTTTTTCGTTTTAGAGGCCGCCATCTTTGTTGTTTCACTTTTCAGCTTTAGCTACCGTTTCTTTATCTTGAAAGGAAGTCGATGCAGTTCAACATTCTTGAGTGCCGCCCTCAAATGATTGGTGTATCAACATCAAATCAGTACAATCCGAACCTAGTGTACAGATTCCGTAAAGTATTGAGTTGTGCAGTCCTCAAGTTCGTATCTTTTATTAAAGTCTACTCTAAAAGTGTTCCTAAGTATCCAAACCTTTCAGCTCATTATTCCTGACGAATGATGTTACAGTTCAATGAAAGACCCTCCATGAGAAAATCGGCCATATATATGTACTTCAGGTAATTTGGTAATTGACCCCTCATACTATGAATTGGGGGAAATCAGTCCAACTTTGTGTGAATCTACTTCATCCCCTCCTGACACAGGTTGTTTTCAACGAGACTTTTCTAGAATGTGTATGCACTATATGGGAGCTCGTAAATCAGCCATGTCCATCTTTATTTTGCGAGTGAGCAAGTGACGCCTCCTTGGTATTTCCAGCTCGTACAAGAACTCATGTCGTCTCGAGACCCTCACTGTTTATGCTTACCATGGATCTCACTGCATATTTGTTTATGCTTACCATGGATCTCACTGCATATTTACGTACGATATTCCGTTCAATTTATCGCAAGTGCTGGGGATGAAAGAACAGCTTGCATTCAAATTTTAGCTTTGCCGAAACAGGCTGGATGCAAGCACATTACTTCGACGGTGAAAACTAGTGCCTCGAGCAATACCTTAAGCATGTAATGATATATGGGTATGCTATTGAGTTCATCTGGTTTCTACTTGAGAGTGCGCTAATCTTGGAGAAGATGGAGAAAGTGATAATTTAAGTTTCTCAATAAGTTGAAGAAGAATGTAATACAATTAAATGTGAAAGCTCGCAGTAGATTTTGTCCTTACATGGCGTCCAGTCATTGCACGTTCCGAGGAATCGGATCGGAGAATGTATGCCATGGGTCAAGGAAGTGCTCAGTCATGCCCATTTTTTTTTGTTTGAAAGAAAATTTCAATAAGATAGAGTTCGAGCATACATTGGTGATGCTTCAGGCCAGACCTGTTAAACGGGTAGGTCGGGTCAGATTTGGGTCGGGTCGAAAATGGTTCGACCCAAATAGACCCATTTAACCCGAAATTTTGCAACCTGTCTGTAAACTTTGCAGCTCTGTGGTGATGCCACAATTGTGACCAGACCCGCTTTTCCCGCATTTTGCAGCTCTGTGGATCCTATCGAATCTAACGTCCCCGCAAAATCAACAATGGTCGCCCTTCATCTTCGCGGTGCTGTTAAGAAGAGTAATTAGGAAAATGGGGATGTGATCCAACTAACCTGGCTTTACTGATCGAAGCCCTGATGTTATGCATGCGATGTTTTCATAACCAGCTTGTTCAAGTTTATTAGCAGCCTCAGTAGACCTGACAAGAGTGGAAACAGAAGATATAAACATAATCTGACTAGGAGAGTGTGAAAGACAGGAGCATATGTTCCTTTTGCAGTTCTTCTTGTTCCATATGGATTAAGCATGATATAGATTCATGAAATATTTCTTGAAGTATCTTGAAAAGAGCATCATCGAACACAAAAAAGGTTATGACTCAGATGATGATTGGTAGTCATGGCCATGGTTCAGGAACCGCCGGTTCCGGTTCCTAGCCAGGTATGAACCGGAACCGTCCGGTTCCGGGCCGGTTCCGGTCCGGTTCCGGTTCCGGGCTGGAACCGACCCGGTTCAGGGTCAGTTTAGGTCCGGTTCCGGTTCCGGGCCGGTTCATTCCGGTCCCGGTTTCTACCGGTTCCGGTTCATAATTTAAAATTTTTAAAAAAATTTATTAAATAAAAAAATAATGAATTATTCAATATAAATTGTAATCAAAATGTAAATTGTAATCAAATTTGGGGACAAAAAGAGAGAATGAGGGGGCTTGAACTTAATAAATTATCATTAAGCGCCTTACAATTCGTTACAATGATCTATAAAAAAAGAGGAGTACAATATATATGACCTAAAATGACCCAAAAACCTAAACCTATCCGAACCCCCGCATTCCGTGCGTAGGGGTCACATGTCGTCGGATTATACTTCGGTTTCCCTAAGCTCACGTGGGCGTGTCCGATATGAGAAACAAGGGTCCCCGAAATATTTGCCAACTCCAACAGTTTTTTTATCCTCCGTCGTCGCTACCCGTTCCGGTAGCGGTACCGGTACCGGTGGTATCTCTGTCGTTAAAGAATTCGAATTCATTATTCCGATCTATCTCTTGTTGTTGGTATTGAGCCTTCGTCCAATCATCGACACAAGCTTGCATCTCCACTGATTTCGGAGCTAATCTTAAACGATGTTCGTCCAAAATATTACCTCCCGCACTGAATGCTTGTTCGACGGCAACTGTAGAACAAGGGGTTGCAAAAATTTGTTTTGCAATAAGAGAAAGGATTGGGTATTGGCTTGCGTGCTTCTTCCACCAATCCAAAATTAAAAAACCTGTACTACCTTCGGATTCGGAATCAGTAAACTCAAAGGAAACGGTTAGATAAGTCTCTAATTCAGAAATATTTCCTATTGCTCCCTTTTGTTTTTTGTGTCTATTTAATAAAAGTTGGTACCCTCTACTAATTTTACCTATACTCTCATTTTGTGTCTCGGTAGATTGAGAAGATCCAATATCACCTAAATTATATTTAGTATAAAATTCATTATATAATTCTATTACTACGTTTTTAACTTCACGTACTATGGTTGTAACATTTATCGCATCATAATGTAAACATTGATAATACGTATGCAAACAATCACTTAAACCATCTAATTTGCAACGCGGATAAAAAACACAAGCAATTAAATAAATAATGGGAATTTCGCCATAATAATGTAGCCACTTCATTTTCATTGTTACTATAGTATGTTGTAATTCAATATCAGTTTCATATTCGTAAAAAATTCCGACAATATTAATATACTATAATAAAAAAAAATGCGTAGTAGGAGAATAAACACCGGACAAAGTATAAGTTGCATCATTAAAAACCTTTAAAATATCTAAAATCGTTTTGCAAATACCCCACTCTTGTGGGTATAAATTAATTTGAAGTATATTATTAGAAATGAATGCACATAATAAATCTTTATAATCATAAGATTCACCAAGCAAGTGAAAAGTAGAATTCCAACGAGTTGGAACATCTCTTGGAAATCTTTTTGGCTTTCTGCCATTTTCTCTACAAAATTTACCCCATTCTCTCATTTTTTGGGGATGTTTCCATAAAAATTGAATCACCGTTTTTATTGGTTCAATAAAAATATCAAGAGTTTTCAAACCATCTTGTACACATAAATTTAAGGGAAAAAACCACCAAAAAACCCAAACTTTGCCATCTGTGATACATTTACCCCGATCTTTTTTTTGTGACACCAAAAACCCCAAACTTTGCTTTTTGTGACACATTTACCCCAATGTATTTAGTCCATGGGCATTTTCATCTTTTTTGCTTTTTCTTTTTTTTTTCCTTTCCGGCGAGGGGGGCCCTTGCCGACGTCGAGAGAGGGCGGCCCTCGCCCGATCCGGCAAGGGCGGCCCTCGCCGGCGTCGGGCGAGGGTCGACCTCGCCTAAGTCGAGCAAGGCGCTCTCGCTCGCCACGGCGCGAAGGCGACCCTCGCCGGATCCGGCGAGGCGGCCTTCGCTAGATCCGGCGTCGAGCCGAGGCGGCCGGCTCGCCAGATCTCGGCGGCCGAGCCGAGGGCGGCTCGCCCGTCTGGGCAAGGTGCCGACCCTCGCGACGCCCCGCGATGGTCTCCTCGCTTGAGTTGGGCGAGGGCCGCCCGCTTTCGCCTGAGCGAGGCGACCCTCGCTCGATGTCGGCGAGTGGTCGCCTCGCCGGATCGCGCGGTACGCCACCCGCACGCCGGCGAGGCTCCTCGCTCGATCCGGCGAGGCGACCTCGCCCGACGCCTGGCGAGGGTCTACTCTCGCGGATCCGGCGAGGTCGCCCGCCTCGGCTGAAGGAGCTGCGCTCGCCCGACTCAGCGGGACGGCCTCGCCTCGACTCGAAGCGAGGTCGACCCTCGCTCGACGCCGGGCGAGGGTCGACCGCCTCGAGTCGGGCAAGGGCCGCCTGTTCGCCGGGCCCCAGCGAGGCCGACCTCTTTGAGTCGGCGAGGGCCACCCCGCTCGCCCAAAGTGAGGCGACCTCGCCAGATCCGCGAGGCCGCGCCGGTCGAGCGAGGCGCCTCGCCGTCTGGCGAGGTCGACCCTCGCCGCGTCGGCGAGGGTCGCCTCGCCGGATCGAGCGAGGGGGCCCTCGCCGCGTCGGGAGGCGGCCTCGCGATCCGAAGGTCGACTCGCCGGCCGGCGAGGTCGCCTGCGCTGGGCGAGCAGGCGGCCCTCGCCCGGCTTAGGCGAGGTCGAACTCACCCGACGCCTACAAGGGTCTCCTCGCCTGAGTCGGGCGAGGCCGCCGTCGCTCTAGCGAAGAGACCTCGCCCGAGCCGGGTGAGGGCCGCCTCGCCGACGCCGGCGAGGGCCCCTCGCTCGATCCGGTGAGGCGACCCCGCCCGACAGCCGGCGAGGTCGACCTCGCTAGATCGGGCGAGGGCGGCCCTCGCTCGGACGCCGGCGAGGGCGGCCTCGCGGATCCGGCGAGGTCGCCCGCCCGGGCGAGCGAGGGCGGCCTCGCCGGCTCGGGCGAGGTCGACCCTCGCCCGGCGCCGGGCGAGGGTCGACCTCGCTCGAGTCGGGCGGGCGCCTCGCTCGCCTGCGAGGGCGAACCTCGCCCGACGCCGCCGAGGGCCGCCCTCGCTCGC